GGCACCACTCTCCCATAACCTTTGGTTCACCAACCCTTGAAATCTCATTGTTCAAAGGTTTTTTTAAAGTTTAATCTCCAGCCCTCCCACTCCCCTTCCTGGACATCTGTGGATTGGACTCAAGGTTCTAACCCTTCAATCACTTGGTCTTTCTGAGGCTATTTAGGTTGGTGCAAAAGTAATTTCAGTTTTAGCATTATTGAAATTTGCCCTTTGAATATTGGAATACATTCTTAAATAAATGTGATTATGTTATACATCACTTTAATGCACATTTCTCACTTTATTTTTTTTGCTAATGACATTACTTGCTGTTTATTTTATATTTGAACTATGGAAATGATGTTAGACAAAAAGCAAATTCAAGTATTTTCTTATTCGAGTTCAAAATGGATTTTAAAGCAGCAAAGACAACTCACAACATCAACAATACATTTGGCCCAGGAACTGCTAATAAATGTATGGTGCAGTGGTGGTTCAAGAAGTTTTTCAGCCGGGCACAGTGGCTCACGCCTGTAATCCTAGCACTCTGAGAGGCCAAGGTGGGAGGATCGCTCAAGGTCAGAAGTTCAAAACCAGCCTCAGCAAGAGCCTGACTCATCTCTACTAAAAATAGAAAGAAATTAATTGGCCAACTAAAAATATATAGAAAAAATTAGCCGGGCATAGTGGTGCATGCCTGTAGTCCCAGCTACTCGGGAGGCTGAGTGAGGCAGAAGGATTGCTTGAGCCCAGGAGTTTGAGGTTGCTGTGAGCTAGGATGATGCCACAGCACTCTAACCCAGGCAACAGAGTGAGAGACTCTGTCTTAAAAAAAAAAAGAAAAAAAAAGTTTTGCAAAGGAGACCAGAGCCTTGAAGATGAGGATTACAACGGCCAGACATCGGAAGTTGACAATAACCAATTGAGAGCAATCATCAAAGCTGATCCTCTTACAGGCTACATGAAAAGTTGTTAAAGTATGGCATTTGAAGCAAATTGGAAAGGTGAAAAAGCTGGTAAGTGGATGCCTCATGAGCTGACCGAAAATCAAAAACAAAAATCATCGTTTTAAAGTGTTGTCTTCTCTTATCACACATAACAATAACGAACCATTTCTCAATTGGATTGTGAAGTGCGACGAAAAGTGGATTTTATAGGACAACAGGCAACAACTAGCTCAGTAGTTGGACCAAGAAGTAGCTCCAAAGCACTTTCCAAAGCCCAACTTGCACCAAAAAAAAGGTCACGGTCACTGTTTGGTGGTCTGCTGCCGGTCTGATCCACTACAGCTTTCTGAATCCCAGCAAAACAGTTACATCTGAGAAGTGTGCTCAGCAAATAGATGAGATGCACCAAAAACTGCAACACCTGCAGCCGGCATTGGTCAACAGAAAAGGCCCAATTCTTCTCCATGACAACGCCCTACCAAAAGTCACATGACCAAACGTCACACAACCAACACTTGTAGTCCAGTTTTGCCTGTTCTGCCATATTCACCTGACATCTTTTTTTTTTCTTTTGAGACAGAGTCTCACTTTTGTTGCCCAGGCTAGAGTGCCATGGCATCAGCTTAGCTCACAGCAACCTCAAACTCATAGGCTCAAGCAATCCTCCTGCCTCAGCCTCCCGAGTAGCTGGGACTACAGGCATGCACCACCATGCCCAGCTAATTTATATATATATATACATACACACACACACATACATATATGTTTAGTTGGCCAATTAATTTCTTTCTATTTATAGTAGAGATGGGGTCTCACCCTTGCTCAGGCTGGTTTTGAACTCCTGACCTTGAGCAATCCACCGGCCTCGGCCTCCCAAAGTGCTAGGATTGCAGGCGTGAGCCACCACACCCAGCCTCACCTGACATCTTGCCAACCGATTACCACTTCTTCAAGCATCTCCACAATTTTTTGCAGGGAAAACACTTCAACAACCAGCAGAATGCATAAAATGCTTTCCAAGAGTTAGTGGCATCCCGAAGCACAGATTTTTATGCTATAGGAATAAACAAATGTATTTCTTGTTGGCAAAAATGTGTTAATTATAACGGTTCCTGTTTTGATTAATAAAGATGTGTTTGAACCTAGTTATGACTTAAAATTCAGTCCAAAACTGCAATTACTTTTGCACCGACTTTAACACAGGCCCCACTTTAAGTCATTTCATTAGCACAGACCCAGGTGTGATTGAAATTGGTTTATTATGAATAACAAAAGACACTCCTATTATTTTGGAAATTACAAGGCTTTTAGGAGCTCAGTGCAAGAACTATGGACAAAGATCAAATGTATTATGGTATTATACTACATACCCTAAGTAATGCTGACACAGATGAACCACAGACCACACTCTGAGACAAACAACATTCTGGATGTTCACAGGCAATCTTATCTCTAATCTGAAATTTCATGCAACCATGAAAATTGAGCCTACACTGGCAATTTATGTTATATCCACTAAAACTGCAAGCAAAAGAAATATATTACACAATAGCTAACTTTTATACTGAGGTACTGTGCTGAGAATTTCTCAATTTTCTCTCCCATTTAAATCTCTACCATCCTATGAAGTATATCATCACCCATTTTATAGATAAGGAAGTAAGGGTTAGAGAGTTACTTCCTCATATCACACGGCTTCTAAGTGACGGAACACAGGTACTAAACCCAGACTATATACTCATAACCTATCTTCCTAACGTCTATGTTATGCCACCTCTCCATTTTTAACATATTTGACATTTTACTGAATAAGACAAAGTCAGGTAAAAGGAGGGAAGGCACAAAAACAAACCTCACGGTTAACACTGTTACCTAGTTACCTTCTCTAAGCATATATCTCAGTCCCTAATGACAAACCGCTTTGCTATGGAGACGGCAGGCACTGAAGGTGGGAAGTTTAAAATCTGTCAGTGATAGGTACTCAGATTACCTTATAATAGCCAAGAAAAGGAAGTTCTGGATCAGCCAATGATTAGTTCTAACCCCAGAAGAATAAACAACTGGGTAGGTAGGGGATCCTGTTACTATCAACTTAGAGACTTTGAGATACTAGATCCCTAGCAAAGGTTATAGCATCCAGCTCATCTGACAAGACACCTAGAAGCCAGCAACCTGATCTAGATGGATCCTAGAATTAGAGTCATAAGGGCTTTACAGAACCATATTGCATAGATTCTTGCCCTCTCCAGTAAGGATTTTTATATTTCACTGAGGTTGCAAACTGGAGGTAACCTCCCATTAATCTAAAAGGGGGTCTGGAGATTACAAAAACTCTCCTTCCAGATTTAGTCATACAAAAACAGCAAAACATTTAATCATGGAGTTTTTCTGTGTTTGCTATGAACACCTGAAATCCGAAAACATTTTGTTCCACTCTGCATGGATGTTCACTAGTATGAAACAAGAATACATTCCTGGGAAGGAAGCTATTAGACATTCACACTTGAATATGACTTAATAACAGGCATTATCTCTCACAACTAGTTGAAAGTGCTGCACTAGAAGAGTAAGTTTCTATTTGTTTGGAGGGGATCTAATGAAGATGATTAATTTTACAGCAAATCAAGGAAGACACTTCCTTGATATAATTTAAAGACATGGTCTTTGAAATACAACCAACCAGAGTTCAAATACCAACTCTGCCACTTGTTACTTATCCTCTCTAAAGGTTATTGTGAGGGTTAAAATAAGATCTTGTATGACAATCACCAGCTGCATAGGTGTTGAGTAGGTGATAGATATTATGAGGAAGAAGGAGAGGTCTAGTACTTCTGACAATATGGTTTCTAAAAGGCATTTTGCATTCTCAAAAGGTTTAAAACAGTACTCCAGTTCTAATTAGAAAAAACTATTCATCGAAAAAAAAAGAAAAGAAAAACACTATTCATTTTTCAGGGCAATTCTCTCCAAAAAGTATTGTCTAAAACCTTTCATAAAATAAATAGTAAGAAAGATTCATCCTACTCCCTCCATTTCTGAAACTACTTCACCTGACTTATTTGGTTTGGAAGTACTATATACTAAGTTTCCTGGAATTTCCAACCATTCTGCCTGAGAGATTCTAACAGAAATTCGCCAGACAGGGAAAGACAAAGGTGTATGTTGGCAAAATTAATACATAACTAAAAAACATCCATTTATTTTTCACTAGATTCTGACATGAAAACAACCACATGATTAAATTTTATCCCTTTCCACCTCCCACAATTTGAATTTCTCTTTTAAGTTACTCTTTATGAACCCAACAGCTCCATTCATTTTCTTTTTCCCAAAAAAGCTCCCAGATAAACAGAAAAACAAAGAATTTTAGGTCCCTAAAACAATAACAAGATGGAGACAAATACTAGATTTTGCTTTTCTACATTCAAAACATAAAATCAGTACAACAGAAATACACCGGGAGCCTCAAACAAAGCCCATAAACCTTCCAAAGCAATCTTTTTTAACTTAATTCTCACTTCTTGCTACCCATTTACCAAGTCTGGGAAATAAAATGCACCCAGCCTCACGTCTCTTCAGTGATCTAAATCTGCCATTGCTAATGCAGTCAGTCCCCCCAGATATGAAACTGTTTTGTGGAACAGAAATACTTAGCAGCAGACATGTACCATACTGACATTAACCACATCCCTAAAACAAAGTGACAAACCACTCCTAGCCTCATCCTAAAAGGAGGGTAAGATAGGCAGTCACCAGCGGAGAGCCAGAACCCCAGGTTTATAATTAACACCTATCAGCCCACGCACAAGGTTAGCAGCGGCTGCACCTCCTCTGCCAGGGACCCACGCGAGGCGGGCTGAGGGACCAAGGAGGCGAGCAGGGCGCGGTGTCTGGGGCGCGGGGCAGGCCCAGGAAAGGCGGGGCCGCACTGCCCCGGTCCCCACCGTCCGGGCCCCGCCCCCGGCCCCCAGCACTCCGCGGCAGCGCCGCAGTCCCCGCGTGGTAGCAGCGCGCGCCCGGGACCCACTCCCGCCGCCGCCTCCCCTTCGCCGGGCGACCCCTAGCACTTACCTGCTTTGCAAACCGGGGCGCTCGGGCTCCTCTTCTCGGGGGAGCTTCGGCTCTGCTCCGGGGACCTCCTCCGATGCCGGACGCGGGCTGGGGGTGGGGCTGCGCTCACCTCACCGGTCCACAGGTGGGTGGGCGACGAGCTGGGCGACGACACGGTGCCCAGCAGCGGCGGCGGCGGCGGCGGCCGTGGGGGGCTCCCGCGAGCCCCGGGCGCGGCGCCACGCGTGGGGCTGGTGCCTCGCGTGGACGTCGCGGACGCGCCCGTCTGCGTGGCCACTGTGGGGCTGGTGCGCGCCGCCGCGCTCCCGCCGCCGCGCGTGGGGCTCGTACTGCGCGAGGCAGTGCGCGGGCCCCCGCCGCCGCCGCCTGAGGGGCCTGAGGCGCTTCCACAGCAGCCACCGTTGTTGTTGCCGCCGCCGCCGCCGCTCCGCGTGGGGCTGCCATGTTGCTGCTGCTGCTTCAGCTGGAACGGAACCGTCGCCCTCATGGGCTGCAGACGACTCCCGGGTCCCCCGGCCGTGGCGACCGCGCCACCCCCAAGGGAGCCGGCCGGCGTGGGGGACCCATTGCGCCTCACCCGCTGGGACATGGTCCCCCCCCTCCCCGGTGACTGGGCGAGACGGGGGGGTTTGTTGTTGTTGGGTTGCAGGGGGACGATTCTTGGGGCCGGAGGGAAGGCCCCTGCGACAAGGTGATGAAGCCGGACTCCGGGGTGCGGGGGGCGACCGGGCCGCGGCCAGCAGAAACGAGGTGGTGCAGCCGCTACCGCCGCCGCTGCTCCTCATCAACAATAGTGTCTCCTCCGCTGCCCCCGCCCCCCGCGATCGCCCATTGGTGTAGCGTCAGCCGCGCACGAGCCGCTCCACCGCGCCCATTGGCTGCGAGCAGCTCTGGTCCCGAGCCCCCGGGGCCTTGGAGAGCCGGGGTGTGCGCGGAGACCGTCTGCTCTTTAAAGAGAAAGAGACCCGCCCCCCGTGGGGAGGGGGAGCGGAGGAAACGGGCAGTGTGTATGTGTAATGTGCGCGCGTGTGTGTGTACAAGTGAGTGCACGTGTACGCGCGCGCCAGGGCACGCGCGTCTTTCCCTTCCCACTGGGGGGAGCCCTGGGGACTCAGACTCTGGAATGTTGCCAAAGGGAATGTCCAGAAGCAGTGCCGTCCCCAGGAGTAATCTGAAGTATTTTCTGCATAACTCATTTCCTTACCACAGTATTTAACTGTGTATTAACATGTACGAGCGTCTCTTCCTGTGTTTTTTTTTTTTCTTAATTTTTTTGTTGTGTCCTAATTCCCTCTACCTATGGGCAGGGCTCAAAAGAGAAGAAATTGAATTAATCTTACTGGCATTTTACACCCCTCTCCTTTTCTTTCTAATTTTTAAAAGCTCTTCAAAGAGACAAATCTCAGATTAAAATTGCTGGCGAGAATGCGATTTTTCATAGTGTCTATACAGTTCAGTTACCAAATGTTATTGCTACCCTCCTGTATCTCAAGTAATCAAGAATTTATTTTAATCAGATACTTAATTGTTCCCTGATACCTTGGAAAGATGTCTGCTACCTTACCAGTTTGTAATGTGCTGTAGTTTACAGAGGGCCTTATTTGATCCTCCCAATCATGATTTGAGACAGAACTGGGCCAGCCAGCCATATTTTTGTCCAGTGGAGAAAAAAGTCACTGTAGTATGGGCAAGGACTCAGGAAGGCAGGTGCTAGTTCTAAAATGACCTAAGGGGATCCTCAAGACACACTCACACACACACACACACACACCAAGTTGACCCACACCCTACACTCTCAGCTCTCTGGCTATGAATTGCCTGTCCATGGCCTCTTTTCCCTTTCCTACTTATTAGATGTACATTCTAGACAGATTTCATCTTGTAAAAATGTAGGAGTGGGAGGCACAGTATGATCCACTCTGGACCTGAAATCCTACTAGGTCCCTGTGCACAGTGATGGAAAGCCTTTGAAGACCTAGAGAGGAAATTTAGATCCCAGATCCCAGATCCACTTACTCTGTGACCTTGGGTAGGTCACTAGTCAGTTTCCTTATCTGTCAAATGCAGTTAAATAAAACCATCTCCTTCATACAGTTGTTGTGATTATTAACCACAGGTTAAATAAGAATGTGGTGTGTACAAGGTGCTCAACACAGAGTCTCCATGTGATTCAGAGGCCCATATCTCTCTGTATTTATCCATTCTCCTTTCTCCTGTCCTCTCCCCTACCACAGAGAGAGGTCCCAAGCTCTTAGCCCAGCAACCTGCCTTAAGTTGGCTGGTCCTTCAGATAGATTTGACACCACTAATTGTCCCCTACAACCTGGAGTGAGAACAAAAACAGCTTCTCACAAGACAGGAACATCCGGGAAACTGTCAAGATCCATGAAGAGAGGATCTGTTTTAAGTATGATCTTAAAACAACAGATAAGAGGAAAGATACACCTTTAAGGATGTCCTGGGCGCTGCATGTGGCATTTTGTCTTGCACAAAGTAGGAGCTCAGTACATATTTACTGAATTATATACCAAAGTGAGTCCAGCATCCCTAGTGTCCTACATTCCCTGATCAGTAGCTTTTGATATCACCAAACTATAGACTTCTTTGTTGGCAAGAGGTTTTAGATTTTCTGAGGTAAAGAATTGATTCCAGCAGATCTCATTAGATTTCATTAGATCAACTGATTTCCTCTGATCAAAGAGTTAAAAAATGTTCTTGGTTTAGTCATGAGATCTGGTGAAGCCAGTTCACCTTTTGTTTCTAGTCACATTTCCTACAGAAACTCAAACCCTACAGCTCCAGAAAATTCTTCTTTTTCAACGTATTTGATCACCCAAATCACTCATCAGTTTAGGGCTTAACTTTAAACAAATGAGAACACTTCAACTGAAGCAGGTATTAACCATTTCAGCCCCTTTTGTACTAAAGGATATTTGCAAAGACTTGTAAATCTAAGCTTTGAAAGTATAAAATCATCAAAGAAGCTAAAAAAAAAAATACCTACTTGGATACCTTAGAGTTCTTCAGTCTGTTTTAAGATTTAATGGCAATGAATAAAAGCATCATTTACTCTTGCCCTTGACTCCATTATCTGTTATTGAAGATTCAAAGGAAACAATGAGCATCAAGGTGATGTATTGGTCTTTACTTTGCTAGTTTATCTATGAAGAGAGTCCTTGTATTTCAAGGATCAACGAAATAAACACGTCTCCCTCCAGTTTAACTCTGCTCTTCTTAGGATATAATTCAAATTTTCCATTTTCACTCCAAGGTTAAAATGTGACTATATAAAGTTGTAGACAAGAAGCAACATACCGGGATTGGTGTGTACTTATTTAAACTTCAGAACCAAAATTATTGATGGGAGCTCATTTGCTCTTGTGCTTGCTTAACTCTTTACAATAATCCTGCTATAATACAGGAAGATAGATTTTGAGAAAATGCTTATCTTCTTGGTTTTTCTTTTCTTCCTGTAGCTTTCATAAAATCAGCCCTATCTTCTTACAGATCTCTAAAATGTCACTGAATGTAACATACAGCCACTAAAATAATTATGAAATCACAAATTCCTTTTACTTTAAAATGGAAAACATCAAAGTTATACACCCATTGTACTTACAACAATGCAAAAATATTTATACATTATAAAATACTACAGGGTAATATACTGATATGAAAATAGAATAGTCATTTTTAAAGTGGGATTTGGGGAGGTGTTTTTCTCCCCAAGAAATGTCAATACATGATTTTCTAATAAAAGAGGAGAATTACCAGAACTTAAATTGCTGAGTGATGTTCTCTACTTACAATCTGACAGCTGCTTCACTTAGACTTTCATCTTAGACCATTTCATTAAGGCCTTCCATGGCCCTGCACATTCCTAGTCTTCTTCTTCTCTTGGTCACTTTTGCTGGCTCCTTCTCAATCTGACCTTTAAAAAGTGAGAGCACCTAAGAACCCTATCCAAGCCTCACACTTCATTCACTCCCTAAACTGATAGGTGCATTTGTGCTCAGAATTCCAGTGACCATAACACTGCCATCTATTCAACTACCTGCTTGGCATCTCCTCTTGTATATCTTACAAACCTTCTCCACAGCTGAATTCAGTATCTCCTCACCACTCACCAGCAGCTGGCTCCTCTTGCATTTTTTCCTTATCTCAGTAAATGGTATGACTATTTACTAAATCAAAATCCTGGAAGTCATTTTGGCAGCCTCCTACCTTCCAATAAGGCCAGTATCTTAACTACTCTAGTTCCCAAATCTCTCATGAATCTACTATCCCCTCTAGTCAAGCCTCTATCTTCTCTGGCCTGCATTCTCTTATTTTATTTCAGAGAGAGATGAGGTCTCACTATTTTTTAAAGTAAAAAAATTATTTTATTTATATATATATTTTTTATAGAGACAAGATCTCACTCTGTCACTCAGGCTGGAGTGCAGTGGCACCATCATATTATTGCTCACTGCAGGTTCGAACTCCTCGGCTCAAACAATCATCCTGCCTCAGCCTCCCAAGTAGTTAGGACTACAGGTCCACACCATCATGCCAGGCTGATTTTTCTTATTTTTTTAAGAGATGGGGTCTCACTGTTTTGGCCAGGCTGTTCTGGAACTCCTGACCTCAAGTGATCCTCCCCACTTGGCCTCCCAAAGTGCTGGGATTACAGGTCTGGCCTGCACTCTTATCCTTACTTAGCCAGTTTCTCTAGATCATCTCTGCCCCACCCTACTTCTCCAAGCTTCCCATTCCCCACCTGTTATCCATTTCCCACACATCTATAGAGGTCTTTTAAAAATACAAACTTAATCACCTCACTATACCTGCCTGAAGCATTCCATTTTACCTTAGGGTAAAGTCCCCAATCCTGAGGCTTACCATACCTCCCATGGGCCCACATCTGCCCAGCTCTTCCTCTCTAGGCTCCAGCCATATTGCTTTTCTTTCATTTCACCCAAATACCCTATACACTCATTCTGAGGCCTTCACACATACTTTTTCCTATGCCTGGGACACGCCTGTTCTTGTCACGTGGCCAACTCCTAATCAGTTTTTAGATCAGGGAGGCCTGGGTTGTCTTGCTCCCCATTTAAGTTGGCTTCCCCAGGTATACAGTAGCACCATGCTTCCCTATGGTAGTCATCATAACATAATTATTTGCTCAGTATCTGCATTTCCTTCTCAATGTTAAGTTCCACAAGGGCTTGTTTGTTCACTCAACAAATATTCATTGGTGGCCTTCTATGAAATAAGCATGAAAAGGGAATTTCTTTGCATGAGCCTCAATAAACGTGATCAAAAATCTTGATCTATATCTCCAAGTTCTATTCATCACAACACAGCCATAGCATCCAATTTCTCTTTTCCCTAAATATTACCCCCAAAAAACTAGGCCATTCTCTCACGCCCTAGCTTCCCTTCCTGCTCTTTGAATAACTCCCTGCCTTTGCCAAACTATGGTATATCAATCTGTTCTTTCTGACCTCACCATTTCTGCATCTCTACCAGTTTATCTTGATGAGCACAACAGAAGCCTTAGAGACCAGAGGTGAAATAACTTGCCTGAAACTAGATCTCAGGTCTTTTGACTCATATTCCAGCATCCTTTCACCATGGTATGGATGATTTTCAACAGACCAGAAGCTACTCTAGATATTTTGTACTGACCAATTAACATATGCTGTGATGAAGAAAAATAGAAGAACCAAAGAAATTAGGTTTGAAATTGGTGAGTACTACCACTTAAAACAATCTCTACTTTTCTGCCATGCAACCTTTTCCATCAAGATTTCACTCACATATCATACGGCCTTTTTT